CAGACTGTCTCAGCTCTCTTCAGGGTAAGAGCATTTCCTCATTTATATATCTACTGAAATAACATATGTGTTCAGTGAAATTTCAGTCAGAAGACAGACCTGTAATTCACTAAGTCTCTGATTCATATTTATATGATTTTTACACCAACATAATCATGTATTTCCTACAGTTCAAGACACAGAAATACTCAGTTTTTTTAATGCGCATCATACATAGGCATGAGATTCTTACTAGATTAAACCTGAACTTTTCCTTGAAATCTCACAGGAGAATTTAAACAAGCTGATGGCTAACTTGAGAAGCACTCACCCCCATTTTGTACGGTGCATCATCCCAAATGAAACTAAAACACCTGGTAAGGCAAGCCAAGGGGAGGAAAGCTTCAGCAGCAGAAGCTCTTCTCCCGAGTGTCAAAGAGCAGGGTAGTCACTAATGGTGGTATTTGTCAGGTGCCATGGAGCACGAGCTGGTGCTGCACCAGCTGCGCTGTAACGGCGTGCTGGAAGGGATCAGGATCTGCAGGAAAGGGTTCCCCAGCAGAGTCCTCTATGCTGACTTCAAACAGAGGTAAGTGTTCTGAACCTTCCTGCTAATTCAGACCAAGCTGAACAGCCTGATTATTATAATATACTTTGAACTTTTTATTTTAAAGCAGTACTGACCATTAATATAGATGTTTCACCATCAGTTTATGATGATGCGGCAGTGCTGAGATCAGGATTGTTTTGCACTTGGAATTACTATTAAAAACATTCCCCATATCCTCTCCTGAGAGGGTGACCTGTCTCTAGGCATGAGATGGGTTCAGTGGTACAGTCTGAAAAGTTCTGGTGGTGGTTTCAACAAATGATTTCTTAATGTTTTGTTTCCTTGTGCAGATATAGAGTACTTAATGCCAGTGCTATCCCAGAGGGACAGTTCATGGACAACAAGAAGGCTTCAGAGAAGCTCCTTGGGTCCATTGATGTAGACCACACCCAGTACAAATTTGGTCACACCAAGGTAAAAACAAGACCTGTGTTAAAAGTTTGCCCAGTGCAGTGAGAGTGGGCTCTGTCAGGGAATCAGGCACAGCACAAGAGCATAACAGAGCTGCCAGACTACGGGCCGCTATCAGCAAGTTCCCAGTCTCACAGTACTCAATCAAGGCAAGTGAGGGTGACCCAGGAATTATAGTCAGACTCAACTCCAGTCAACTCAACTCAGTCCATGCTATCAAACAAGTTTGTTACAATAAGAATGGTCTAAGTTGAAGCCATAAAACCTTGTTTTTCAACATTTCTCAGGGTCAGATATAGGCAGGCTAAAAAGGCAAGGCCCAAGTCATTAATTAGTGGACATATACATAGCAGTGAGATTGGTCTAACACCAAGCCAGGAATTAATAAGTCATGGTAGAGCTCACCAGTGTCCAGGACCAGGCAGAGGAGTGGCTGAGGCTGTGGCTAAACTGGAAACCAGTACTCATGACACATAGCTCAGACAAGGACTGAATGCTTAGGTGAGATTATAGGAAGTCCTAAGCCCTTGGAGAGAGGATCTGGGAGGGGGCCCAAGGTGATACTGATGGCCATTAAAGACTTTCAGCAATCTGAATGACTCTGTGCTCTGTTCTGTCCTCCATCACAATGACATGGTGCAACATTTCCTTTCTCGAGGTGTTCTTCAAAGCTGGGTTGCTGGGACTCCTGGAGGAGATGAGAGATGACAAGTTGGCAGAAATCATCACTCGCACACAAGCCAGGTGCAGGGGCTTCCTGATGAGAGTGGAGTATAGGAAAATGGTGGAGAGGAGGTAGATATTTGTCATATTTATTTGATTTTCATGGAACTTTACTGATGAAGTTTAAATTAATCACACCATATCCATACAACAACTGTGTGAATTTCATTTCAGAGAGTCCATCTTCTGCATCCAGTACAATGTT